AAATTGAAGTATAGATAAAAAAAGATAGGAAAAAAGAACACAATCTCAGTGACTTGTGGGACAATACAATGCTGTTTAACATTGGTACAATTAGATATCCAGAAGGAATAGACAGAAAGAAATAGGGTAGAAAAGATACTTAATGAAATAATTGACAAAATACTCCCAAATTTGATGAGAAACTTCAACACACAGATCCCAGGTGCTCAACAAACACCAAAAACCATAGACACACAAAACCACACCTATGCCAACATAACCAAACTTGGAAAAACAAAGGGAAAGGAAAAATCTTAAAAGCAGCTAAGGAAGGAGATAAATTTATATAGAGAGAAGTAGTCAGAAGAATGACGGCTGTTCTCATGAGAACCAAGGAGTCAAGAATGGCATTTTTAAAGTGCTTAAAGACAAATACGCTATAAACCTAGAGTCCTGAATTGGTGCTAGCCTTCAAAGAAAGTAGGGAAGGAAGAAAGGAAGGAAGGGTGAAAGGGAGGGAGGGAAAAAGAGAAGAAGGAAGAGAAGGAGGAAGGGAGGGTGGAAGGAAGGAGGAAAGGGAGGGAGGGAAGGAGGAAAGGAGGGAGGAAGGGAAAGGAAAAATAAAGACTTTCTCAAAAAACAAAGATGAAGGAAATTCATTGCCAGTACAGCTACTGTATAAGAAATGTTAAAAGCTAAAAGAAATGTTAAAAGGCAGAATAAACACGGTATCAGAAACTTCACAAATAAATTAACATGTTGGAAATGGAATAAGTAGAAGTATAAAACTCAATTCTATTTAGTTTTAGTTGTCTTAAAACAACCATGTTTTTTTAAAAAGCAGCAAGGTAAGCCAAATGTCATTTTAAGATTTCCAGTTTTTAGAGGTAAAATTAATTTTAATAAAATATTTTGTTAACCTAAAAAGAATAATGACATACTGTGTTTGTATCCTATTTAAAATTAACAATATACTATATGATAACATCTCAAAGGATGAGAGATGAATTGGGAATACACTACTTGAGGTCCTTATAGTACATGTGTAATAATACATTATTTGAGGACAGTCTCTGATTCACTAACAATGTATATTGTAAATCCTGGGACAACAACTAGAATGGTTTTGAAAATATAAGTATGTCAATAAAAGTGATACTGTAGAATAATAAACAACATTCCATTCACCCAAGAGCAGTTAAAAAAACAGGAAAAAGAAATACAAATAGATGGAGAAACTGAAAAGTCAATTTTAGTGCAATTGGTCCAAGTATCAGTTAAAAGTCAGAGACTGCCAAATTGGATTTAAAAAAGCAAAACCCAGTTATATGTTGTTAACAAGAATCTGACTTTAAAGATAGAAGAAGGATAAATTAAAAGTATAAAGAAAGGTATGCTATGAAAACATTAAACGAAAGGTAACTGGAATAGCTATATTAGTAGGACAAAATGTACCTCAGGACAAGGAATATTTTCAGAAATAAAGAGAGAAATTTACTTCAAGAAGTAAAAATCCTATGTGTGTACACACCTAAAAAACAATCTTCAAAATACTTGAAACAAAGGTTGGTAAAACTGAAAAGAGAAATAGACTAATTCATAATTGGAAATACTAAACTTTTTCTCAGTTAGTGATAGAATAGACAGAAAATCATTAAGGATATATATGATCTACAGATCACAATTACCCAACTTGACCTAATTGACATTATAAAATTCTCCTCTCAACTGCAGGAGAATATACATTCCTCTCAAGTGAACATGGAACATTTTATATGTGGGTACATGTGCACACATAGGTACACACACACCGGGCCATGAATTTCAAAGAATGTAATTCATACAAAGGATGTTCTTGGAACCATGACAACACTTTTAAATAATCCATGGGTCAAAGAGAAAGTCTCAAAGAAAATTTCAAACTATTTTTAACTAAATGAAAACACAACATATCAAAATCAGAGGGAAGCAGCTGTGGTATTTTTAGGGAAATTTTAGTATTAAATGATTATGTTATTCAAGAAGCAATGTCTCAGTGCAGTAATCTAACCCTTCACCTTAAGAGAGAGGGAAGAAGGGGAGGAAGGGAAGAAGGAAGGAGGAAGGGAGGAGGAGAGAAAGAGTGAAAACAAGTTAAAGCAAAGGAAGCATATGGAAATTAATAAAGATTAGGGTAGATATCAATAAACTTAAAAACATAAAGAAACAATAAAGTCAATCACATCAAATATTAAAAAACCAATATAATTGGTTTGTCAGTTGTCAGATGCCTTTCCCAGTCTGGCTGCCTCAAGTGCAGAATGCTAGCCAGTACCTTGGCAAACAAGCAGAATGCCTCTAAGGCAGTCTAGGTGTTCTAGACTCTTCAGTCTGAGAAGCACTTCACTCTAGCTGCAAGGAGCACTGCAACTGAAGCCAAGACTCCTGCTCCAGAAGACCTTGCTCCATTCATAACCACTCCAGACAACCTGCACAGGCCTTGGAAGACATCACTCCAAGACAAGCCTCAATGAACTCTAGATGACCCTGCTTACCTTGCACATGGAGTTATTCTCACTCAGGCTAAAGGGAGTGAGAAAGCTTATGACTGGTGTGATGAAAGGCCTGTGGTTGGTCCTTATGTAAGGTCTGTGATTAATGGAACTGGAAACCATGCTGTGATTGCATGGTTTGTGATATTTGCAATGTCATATCCATGCCATGCATGTTTCTGACTATATAATTAGGCTTTTCAGTTTGCTTTTCCAGTCATCTGGAAGATGCCCACCTGTGCTATTCCACTGTGTTACAACAGTGGGTCCAATAACAGACTCTCCAAATCATCTTTTCTAGATTCATTGTGATCTTTATCATGGGTAGAGCAGGCCAAGCTGGTAATACAAAGCGGATACAACAGCAGCAACAACAAGGAGTACAGTGGTAGCAGCAGGAACAGTAGCAGTAGTAGCAAGAAGGTGGCTGAAGGGTTCCAGAGAGCAACTGGGGGCAGAGACAGCAGGGACCATAGGTGGCAGAGATGACAAGGATGGTGGAAGTAGAGAGAAAGTGGAAGGCTATGAAGAGCTGAAGATGAGGGACTTCAGGCCCTGGTTGCTGGAACAGTTCTAGGGAACGCCATCCTTCAGTACCAAAGGTCCTAGCACTCAAGGTCCAAGAGCCACAACACTAGTCACTGTAAGTGATTAGGACCCTGACACAGAAGGCTTGGGAACAGTAACACTCACTAGCGCTGAATGCTGCTAACACTAGCTATTACTAAGAGCCAAGGATTGTACTAGCTGCTGAGTGTTAGGACACTGGCAGTCAAAGCCCAGAGCAGTAAGCATCCAATCTGAGCACCTAAAGCCGTGTCTCTGGTCTCTAACACCTAGAATCATAAGCCTTTCGTTCTCAGGACTTGGGAGTTACAAGCCTCTGAGTATGTCAGTCCAGTCCATAAGCCTTTGGCACTCAGGGGCCCGGGACTGCCAACACTAGAAGAGTTGTTCCTCACCTACTTGTGATTTCTATCTGGGTAGAGCAAAAGGGCCCCAGTCAGCTGATTGGTGACACTACATCATTGAAAAACTTGCAATTTCTTATAATGTTAGATATGTACTTGATCCAGCAAGTTCTGTTTGCTCTTAGAAAAATGAAATTCTTATACAAGGACATTCATTGTAACTAAAAGCATGGAAGAAACTCAAATGTCTAGATAAGCAAATTGTGATCAAATCATTTGTGTTTCTACTCAATAATAAAAATTAACAACATTGAGGACCATCAAGACATTATGTTGAAGGAAATAAATTGGATACAAAATAATTCATACTGTATGGTTTCATTTATAAGAGGTTCAAGAGCAGGCAAAACCAAGCTCTGGGAATACAAATCAGAAAGCTTCTTGTCTCTGCCATGGTGGTGAGGTGGGGGTTGGCCACAAAGGGACTCAAGGAACTTTCTGGGTTGATGGAAATGGTTTATATTTGGTTGAAGTGTTTGCTACATAAGTGTTTATTTTTGTCAAAACACTTAAATTTGTGTATTTTATACTATATGCAAATTATATCTAAAAAAACTTTCAGAAACATTTTAAGTAACAGATGTTGAGCATAAGTGATTTAAACTTTTTCCAGGTAGCTTGGATGCATCTTGGTGTGTTTCCTGAAGCTGTTTTCAGGATTCACTGTTGGCACATCCTGGAATACTGACATTCTTCCCCGTAGCTGTGTGTATGATGAAAACAGTATATACTCACCTACCCCTCCCAGCCAAGTGCAAGGTAGCTGGCAATCCACAAGTCAGCAGAACACTAGGTATGGCAGGGTCCCTTTGATGACCATCTTATAAACCACAGCACCAGCTCACTCATTAATGTGTAAAATATCAAATACATGCCAACTCTAAGTTACTCAGCAATTGATTGCTGGAGTTAACACTGAGAAGCAGAATTGCATATGTTAGAGAAGAAAGGCCATCGAAGAAGGATCCAAAGGTTGGGGTTCTATTTCTAGTCTACTTCCTTCTGGGTCCTGCAAACCCCCAAGATTTTATCTTTAGATGAAGAGATGATGAGGAGAGGACACAAAACTGCCCAGGCAATGTCCTACTGCCATGAGGAGGAACAGCTGAAAGCACAGATAAAAGCCTGTAGTAAAATGTGAATTTCCATGTGCACTTGCAGTCCCATTGCTGCTACTTTATTCAATATTCTACCTCTGTCCCTTACACACACAGTACACCTACTCCTTGACCTGTTTTTGAAAACTTTATTGTCAATTTAGAACCTTTGCCAGAAGTTAGAGATATTTTAGCTGTGCAACATTGGCTTGAAGCTTCTTCAATACTTTGTGGATTTCATTCATCTGAATATACAATAGAGGTTTGGATCCCACTTTTAACCTGGGCATGAGATTTTTAACCACAGGACCATTCCAGGTCACAGTTAGAAAATGAGTTCTGGGCCTGCCTCTTCTTTAAGTCCTTCTTAATGTCAGGGCCTCACACTAACCTAGAAAGAACCAACCCCAGAGCTGTCTCACCTGCTGGCAAAGGTCAGGGCCAACACTGTGGCCAGGTGAGGCATCAGCCGGAGCGTGTGCGTTTGGTGCTCAATGAGCTTCACCTCTTCCTTGGATCTGGGCCCAAATTGCCTCCAGCTGAAGAGAATTAAAACACAATTTTTACCAAAATGCATTAGACAACTTCATTTCCAGAGCTGTACAGGCCAGCAAGCCACATGGTCTTTCAAATATTTCAGAGTACAGAAATCTGAGTTTCCTAAAATGTGGTTAAGACAATAAGACATACTAAAATTCTAAATAAACTCCAATAGAAATCTTTTTAGCTTTTGTAGAAATTTCCCTTCCCACCATGGAATATTTTTAAGACAGCATATCTATCTAATACATAAAGTAATTTGTACTCCTTAACATTTACATGGCATTTTATAGCTCCAAGAGCCCGTGATCATTAATTATTCAGCTTTACTAGGTTTGTGACATAATTAATAGGACAGAAGCCATACCCTAGAACATATTTCAAGACGACATTCTCAGTAAGGAGAGCAACGTTAGCCCCCATGTTTCTGTCAGATTCATAGGTGGGTCATTACTCTCAGCCCACCAAAGCCCCCTGCAGTTCTGCATGGAAAAGATATCCTCCATGTCCTGCCTTAAATCCCTGTGCCCTGTAGACAGCAGCTGCACTGCACTCAGAGGCAGCTCTGTTGGGAAAACCAAGGTTTTTTGGGGAGCAATGTGTAAGATGGCGTGAAATAGACCCCACAGGCAATACCCATGGGCAAACCTTGCAGAATCCCAAAAATGCAGACTGCAAAGAGTCCAGACCTGATAAACAACCTTAACCTTCTTGCCCTGTGCAGGACAATGCTCTACAATCCTGGGTTTTGTAGCATTCTGTCTTTATAAGCTCTGGGCTTAATGTTGACATCTTTTGAGGGAAAGGGGAGCAGTATTATTTTGAGGCAAGGTATCAGTATACAGCCTAGGCTGGCCTTGAATTTGCCATCCTCCTACCTCAGCCTCCCTAGTGCTGTAATTACAAGCATGAGCCACCATGCCAAGCAATGTTGATTTCTTAATGAACAACATTTTACACAAATACATATGTGTGTGCACGTATGCTTGCACACACATACAGTGCTACACTGTCAAACACCCAAGGCAAACCTGCGCTGCAGACAGCAGTGTTCTAAAGATACACATCAATCATCCAAAGAGCGAAGACAATTTTCAATAATGTCATACTTGATAGATTTTTATAAATGTAATTTTACATTTTAATAGTCTTTATTTGTAATCAAAAGAAAGGTAACTTGACCTTTTTACTGAGTAAGGTGTATAGAAATCATAACCTGGCCTTGTGACATGAGCGGGAGGAGGTAAGACAAATACCCCAACATGTGCCAGGGAGCCATTTGCAAGCACTGTGAACACAGTTTGTTTGCTAAAAGCACAGGCTTCCCCCAGGCACAGACAAACCACCCACAGATGGCTGTGCCAGGATGACACCCCACCCTGTCTTTGGTCCATGTGTTGCACCCCATCCCTGCAAATATCCAACCACAGCAGGGAGTGGCTTCAAATGAGAGACCAGGCAGTTTGTAGGGAAACCTCTCAGCTTTTGCTGGATCATGATGAGACCAAAAAAAAAACATCATAGATCCAATAATGTGAGGTTATTGTGACACCCAAAATGCATATGCTGAAGCCCTAACCCCCCAAGTGACTATATGGAAGTAGGGCATTTAGGGGGGTAATTAGGTTAAATGAAGTCATAAGGGTGATAGGGTGGGATGCTAATACAATAGGATTATAAGGCTTTATAACAAGAGTAGATCTCTCTCTCCCTCTCTCTCTGGCTCTTTCTCCCACCCCCATCATGCACTGAAGAGAAAGGTCATGTAAGGACACAGCAAGAAGGCAGCCATCTGCAAGACAGGAAGAGAAACTTCACTAAGTCTGCCAGTGCCTTGATTTTGGACTTCCAGCCTCCAGAACAGTGAGAAATAAATGTCTATTGTTTAAACCACACAGTCTATGGTATTTTGTTATAGCAATATGAATGGTCTATTACAGTCATTTTACAAATTGTTTGTCCCTACTCTCTTAACTTTCATTTTAAATGCAATAATTGTATTGTAGATTTATCTATGATTGTTGCTGCTAAAATTTTACTCATCAAAACCAGACATAGCTATCCACAACTCACTCCTCTAGGGGATAATTTGCATGTCTGTTCTATGCTCAGTTACCATTCTAGGCAATGGGCATCACTAGCATCAAGAAGACCAAGACTCACCACTAAACTCACAGCCCAGGACACAGAGAAGAGCCAGATAAGGAAGAGTGTACATCCAGAGCCTTGAATGCGGCCAGGTCTCCCACCCACTGTCAATCATCAGTATTTCATTGTGTGTTGCCAGAAAGTCATCTCAGGGCACTTTATTCACACAGGGTCAGCAAAAGAAGTGACTGATCCCAACATCTTTCAGTTTTTGATTTGCTAAAAAATTTTTACAACCATACACTATTAGATATCATCCCTTGAATTTTCTGTTTGTGTGTTAAGTCTTTGTCTTGGCATAGCACGCAGTAGACCCCTAATAGTGAATGAGTAGAAGAATAAATCAGTTTTGCAAATGAGGAAATGCGGCAGGGTGGCATACTCAAGACTTCAGGGAAGGTCTTTAGATGCTAAATCGGACCCCAACCTGTTGTGCCTCAGTTTCCCAATGTAGACACAACTTGTTATGGTACCATTTGTTCTTTGACCCTCACATTTTAACTGGGTTTACAGGTACAGAGAAGAAAGAGACCACCAGTGATCCAAGTGACGGGTCAGAGTGTCTCTTCTGAGGCTGACAGGGAGCTCAACTACTCCACAACTGGATCACCAGGTGATTTCTCAAAAATCAGTACATTTCACAAGAATCTGAATTTCCAGCTTTTCTTGAAAAACAGGAAGATCTGGCAACTCTGGAGCCTACTCTCATGATGCAACCCCCGGGATCTCAGAGCTACCAACCAATCATGGTCACAATAGGTTGACCACCCTCACCCCATCCACCTCTGACCCTAGTTTCCAGTCTACCCACTGAGGTTACCTGCTGGCCTGAGAAGCACTGTGTTTCCAACCCCCACAAGAGTGGGTTTCTTTTCTTTATCCAGGATAATTTGCCACAGCATCCTAGTCTGTGACTGTGATACATAGTCATAGGCACTGTACATAAGGCTATGAATTTATTGGGAGACTCCTAGGGATAAAAACAGCTCTGCATAACTCATTTGGAATAAAATTCAAATACCTGGGCTAGGCTTGGCATTCAGGAGTGCACTTGGGCCTTACTTGAGCACCCCTACCCCTTTCCTGCAAGTCGCTCATTAGCTTTTCTCATCCTGAGCCTGTACACTGCTCTCTGCCTCTGCTTGTTTTCCACAGAATTGCCACAAGTTTAACTAGAATCATTTTTGGTGGCTCAACCCAATTTTCCTTCCCCGTGCTGAGACTTTTCTGATTTTCCTTCCCTCCTTGATGCAAGTCCACCTTCAAAAACAAAACAAAACAAAACCAATAAAAATGGAGGAATGATTTCTCAGAATGTTCAGATTGCATTCCACCTGCAATCCCTGCCTTGAGGCCCAGCACCTCTCCCTTTCAGCCTCGCACCCTGTGCACCTGTACTAACCGTGTGTGTGTGTGTGTGTGTGTGTGTGTGTGTGTGTGTGTCTAGTGATTTTCACTTGGGGCCTTTCTGGCCCCTCCCAGGGCTAGCTAATTCCAAAAGATAGCAAATGAGATCCCTGTGAGCGTGTCTGATAAAGGCAGGCTAACCAATCCCATACCTCCAACCAGCTCCCATATAAGTCTCTCACCCTGCACACTGCTATTGCCCTGTCCTAGTCACCCCAGGACCAGGTGCCAGACAACTGAGGACAGTCCCTAGGCCTCAGAGCCCACTAAAATTATCCAAACCGGCCAGTCCTAGCCCAGTTAGCTTCTGTGTACTGCCTCATCCATTCCTTCCTTTGTAAATTACAATAAGGTCTTACCACATTTTCTTCTTGCTCCCTCCACCTCCTCTCTGACCCTGGTGCTTCCCCATGCGTCCCCTCTCCCCACCATGGCATAGCATGCCCTCACCCCTTAGGACCATGCATAATTCACTCTCTTTTCAATGGCAATTGTCTCCCGATCAGTTGGCTTCACCATACATGAATAACAGCATAACCTACATTTTAAAATAGCACCTGCCATTGGGCTCACAGCTCGCTGATGGCACATTTGCTCATTTTCATGTGGCCCAGCTGGCCTGCACTAAGCATTCAGGAAAAATGGAGGCAGGATGGCAGACAGACTGTCCTACCATCTCTTTAGCTCTACACCTAGTCCTCCACCCACTACCCACACTTCTTGGAATGTTTGCTTGTTACTAGTTGTTCTGGAAACAGAAAAGCAACAAAACCAGCCCTTAGACACTGGAGTGCTGGGTGGGGACCAGTGGTCAGTTAGGATAGGAATGGATATAGGAAATGACAGGGCAGAAGGAACAAACCTCCCCTGATGCCAATAGTCCTGGCTTCCTCACCAGGGACTGGAAGAAACAGGTGGATGGAAAGCAGGCAGGACATATTCAAGTCATTCCCTCCCTCCCTCAGGCCCAACATGTTATCAGTCCCCGAAGCACTGAGCAGGAGTTTCTACTGACTTCTCACCCTATTGATGTGCTCTCTGGTTTCTACAGGGGGCAAAGTGACACTAAAGGCTAATGATCCTCCTTCCACCTGGAGATACAGCCAGAGGACAGCCCTGGGACTAGCACCATCATTCCCAAGCAGGGACAGAGGCACAGAGAGAGGGGACATTGAGACTCAAAGACTCCAGAGAGTATGGCTCATGCAGGGACTTTGCCTACCATTCTGCAGTCACCCTGTTGTTTATGCTCTCAGAACCCCACTGGGTGCGCGGAGAGCTGGTTCACTGGTTGCCAGCATCCTGGCGTGCTTCCCTGAACTCGGTTCACAGGGCTGTAATCCCTGCAGCTGGCCAGCAATTACTGCCTGCCAGACATTTTTATTGTTCCAGAATATGATCTATATGGACACAATATTCTTCCTGTCCTTTCCTCCTCTGGGTT